TTGTCTTTTCTTATCTGCATTATTTTTCATCCGAGCCTGAGCCATTAACGGATGATCCTTGATCTGAGCCAACATAAAATCTCTTTGTTTTAACATTTCCTCCAACTCAAAATTCATCGTCGAACCAGACTCAAACTTCAGCAAGGTCTGTGGAGATCTACCATATGTCACCTGAAATGGTGTTGTACCCAATGATGTATGATGGTTTGTATTGTACCAGAGTTCAGCCCAACATAAGAACTTTGCCCATGATTTGGGATGTGAGGAGGCAAAGCATCGGAGGAACATTTCTAAGCACCTGTTAAGAACCTCTGTTTGACCATCCGATTGTGGGTGATACGCTGTGCTATACCTCAACTTTGTCCCGGCTTGCTTGAATAATTCCTTCCAGAAAGTGCTTAAGAAAGATCTTATCCCGATCAGATACTGTTGAAGCAGGGAATCCATGTAGTTTCACGACTTCTGAGATAAACCGCAGTGCTACATCTTTAGCTGAGAAGGGATGTCTTAAGCCAATAAAATGTCCAAACTTGCTCAACCGGTCATGAACTACAAGAAGGACATTGAACCCTTGAGACAACGGTAATCCTTCTATGAAATCCATATAAATGTCTTCCCAAATTTGTTCTGGTATCGGTAGTGGTTGAAGTAACCCAGCAGGTGAAAGAGTTGAATACTTATGTTTCTGACATACACTGCACTCTGCGACATACGGTTGAATATCGTCATTTATGTGCTTCCAATAGAACACCTGTTGAACTCGGCGTAGTGTTTTCAAAAACCCTGAATGCCCTCCTATCACAGCATCATGGAAAACTTGTAGTATCAACGGAATATATATAGACTCCCGAGGGATAACCAATCTTCCTTTGAACAATAATTTACCATCAACCACTATATATCTTGGTTTCGCATCAGGTTATGTGATTACTCTGTTCTTTAACAACTGTAACTCATCATTCTCAGCAATCTCCTTTAAGATATCTTGCAACTGTAAGCTCGAAGGAACTGTCAAAGATAGTAGAAGTGCAGAACTAGTAAGCAACTTCTCTGAACCCATTCTTGATAAGCTATCGGCTGCTTTCTTTTCTATCCCTGGTTTATATATGATTTCAAAGTCATAACCCAGAAGCTTAGTTAGCCAGCGTTGATACTCTAGTGAAACATCTCTTTGATCTAGCAGAAATTTTAGACTTTTCTGGTCTGTATGAACATAGAATTTCCTGCCAATCAAATAATGTCTCCATTCTTGTACTGCTAAGACAATCGCCATTAGCTCGCGTTCATATATTGGTTCGATCTGTTCTTTATCTGATAGTTCGTGACTGAAGTAAGCAATAGGATTTTTGCCTTGCATCAATACCGCTCCTACTCCGTAGCCTGATGCATCTGACTCTACAATGAAAACCTCTTCAAAGTTAGGTAAGGCCAAGACTGGTGCGCATATCATTGCTTCTTTTAGCTGTTCAAAAGCTATTTGAGATCTCGGACACCACTCAAACTGATTCTTTTTTTGTCTGTCAACGGTCTAGCCAGGGTGCCATAACCGCGTACAAAACGCCTGTAATATCCAGTCAGGCCTAAAATTCTTTTAGCTCTTTTACCGTCCTTGGAATTGGCCACTTTCGCATTGCTTCGGTTTTTGCCGGATCAGTAGCTACTCCTTCATAAGATATCACGTTACCCAAATACCCAATCATGTCCTGTCTAAACATGCATTTTTTCTTATTAGCAACCAATTGTTGTTGAGCAAAGATGTCCAACACAGTCTTCAAATGTTGAATGTGATCACTTAAGGTTGAGCTGAATATCAGTATGTCATAAAAAAAACCAGCACAAACTGTCCCAAATAAGGCCTGAACAAGGAATTTATCAATGCCTGAAATGTAGCAGGTGTGTTGCTTACCCCAAAAGGCATGCCCAAGAACTCATAATGGCCATGCCGTCTTTTCTATGTCTCTTTCCTCCATCCTTATTTGATGATACCCGGATTTTAGATCAAGTTTTGAAAACACTTTAGCCCCATGTAGTTCATCCAGTAGTTGATCTATCATTGGAATGGGAAACTTATCCAGGATGATAATTTTATTCAGAGCCCTGTAATCAATGCAGAAGCGCCAACTAGAGTCTTTTTTCTTGACCAATAAACTGGGCTTGAGTATGGACTCCTACTTGGTCTGATGATACCATCGTCAAGCATTTTCTTCACTAATTTCTCCATCTCCTCCTTATAAGCTTGAGGGTATCTGTAGGGACAAACGCTTATTGGACCAACTACATTGATAATGTTTACAGCATGTTCATGACCCGAATGGGTGGTAGCTGGGTGGGTTCTGCAAAAATGTTCACGTACCCCTGCAATAAACGTTCGACTGGTTCTGGAATGTCACATGTTAACTCCTTCTGCTCAGCTTGAAACAATTCCATGTTGAAACCAGTTACATTCTGAACATTCTTCAAGGAAGGTTTACTGTTATGGAGAGAGGGATCCCCGTAGAGAGTCACAATCGCTCCTCTATGATTAAACGACATCTCATGGTTTTCCCAATCCATCTCACACTTCCCTAATATCCTTAACCATTATACGCCAAGAATAATGACATTGTTGCCTAATTCTAGGACAACAAAATTCGCGTTAAACTGTTATGTCTGTAGCGTAAAAGACACCTCTTTGCATATTTTTAAACCTTGAGCAGTGATGCTAGTTCCTAACAGAATCTCCAAGTGACGACTTCCTTTTTGGTTGAGTTTCGCTTTAGTCACTATCGATGGGTCAATGAAATTATTAGTCGCCCCACTGTCGATCATGACCACAACTTTCAGCTTGTTTATCCTGTATCTCATTTCTCACCCCAATCTGTTTCTTTGCAGGTCTGTCATTCTGTCTGCCATTTTCTTTTGAGTAATCCTGATTCGGTGACACATATGTAGTGCGCTGAGAGTTATAGACTGATGATGATTTCAATGGTACATACGTAGTTCGGTGTTGATGACTGTTCTGAGATGCTGCGTTGGCAATTGTTGTGCAGAAGGCACTATCTTCTATTCTTATGTCTACGTGAAAATATTTTGTTAGAGTCTTTGATTCTTTGAGCTTGATAACTTCCTGAAACTCTGGTCTCAATCCCAAATAGACTCTCAGATACTGAATCATCGAAGGAATCAAATCTCAAGAACAGATTCAAGAGACTTGCCAATTTACTGAGAACTGACTCTCGAGCAACCAAAAGAACGAACAACAATTCGATAATCCTAACAAACAAAACGAACAACTATTTATACTCTATCGTAATACTATAGCTAGTGTGAACACTGTAGTGTGAACTCGTGTTACTCGTCCTTCTTTCTTTCACGTCAGCGGACGACTCGTTTGCAAATTCCTCTTCTTTATCATCTGTAGATGCTCTTTGAGCCAACTCTGAACTCTTCTTCTTCGTGATATAAACTCTTCTGAGCTTATCAGATATTTGTTGATTAAAAAACCTAATACTGATCCATGATTAACCTGTGATTTTTCCTTTAGACCATCTCCAATAGTAGGTTGTTAAAGAGTTGTTAACCTATTTTTAATTAAAAAATAAAGATTAAAACCTAATAAACCCACGTACCGCTCCTTGATGAAGAGATTTTAGAACTCATGAACAACCTCATATGTGTTATCATATGGTTGGTGCAAGTAATAAAAATTATGTTTTCTTTTTTTTTTCTCTCAGAAAATCGAAAAACATGTGTTCATTTTCTCTCTCTCACATTTTCTCTTTCTCACATTTCCTGAATAACCTCCCATTGGAGGCATAAAAATATAAAGCTTCTTACAAATGTATATATAGATGTAAATAACACAAACAAATAATAAAAAAAGAACCAAGAACTCCAATAGATCTCAACCATTGGAGATGGTCTTAGACGCTAGGCCATCTCGACTAGCGGCTAATGAAATTTAAACATTGCCAGCTCTCGCACCTAACACACCATGATCTTTGTATTTATTCCCAGCACCAAACCCACCATGATATCCGTCATTATTATCAACACTAAACACATCATGATTTTGAATACTACAGTCATTACAATCATAAAACAACTTGTCAATTCAGAGATTATCCTCTGCTAAAATAACATCATCTTCTAAAACTTGTTAAACATTCTGCTAAAAGCCATCTACATTAACATCATCTTCGTTACTACACCAAAATTATTATTAAACAACTGGTCAGCCCAAAGATTATCTTCCTCCACATTAATATCTTGTAAGACTCATTGCATATTCTGCTAAAACTTATCCTCTTTAACATCATCTTCGTATTACCATCAAACATAAAATATCCTCCTTCAAGTTCTTATAAAACTGTAGCATCCTGCTGATCAAATTCATCCATTTTAACATCTTTATATATAAGACTTGTGGAACATTGTGGTGAAATTCATCAACATTAACATTTTTTTGTAAGACATGTTGAGCATTTTGTTAATCTATTTACATTGCTATCTTCTTGTAAGACTTTTTGAACATTCTGCCGAAACCCTTCCACATTAGCATCTTCTTGTAAGACTTGTTGATCATTCTGTTGAACCTATCCTCGTTAACATCATCTTCTAAAACTTGTTAGAACATTATGTTTAGAGAATGCAATTTCTACATAGTAGAGAATGTGATTTCTACATAGAGGTGAGTTTATAGGAAATCTTCAACATAGTATAAGCTAAGCGTTCATCATGATCGTGAATATTTGTGGAGCAGGAAGAGTTTCATAATAAATTTAGACATAAAAAAAAACTATAACAAACTATCCACAATAAAATATTCTTTATACTTTGGAAATCCAAAACCAAAACTAAAATACGGATTGAACTTCACTCACAGGACCTGAATTATCGTTCTAAAATCTGCGATAATAATTGTCGTTCTCTCTTGTATGAAAAATAATCACAGAACTTCACTCACAGGACCTGAATTGTCGGAGCTTATAAGAATACAAGGACAAAGGCAGATTCTGAAGCAATCAAATATCTTGACATTTGGGAAGTCTTACAACAGGAAATGACATCATATACTTTACATGAAGCATTCACTCGAAGGGAATGCACCATTTTACCACTAATATAAAATACAATACAATACAAACAAACAGTAGAGATCATAGTACAACTCCACAGATCAGTGTTTTTTACTTTGTCCGGGTATCGAAATATTCGGTCCCATATCACAAGTCGGTACAACAATCACCAGATAAATGAAGTCCAGGTGTCTGATCTTCGAACTAAACCACCTCAGGCAAGACATCTGCTGGAAGTAAAATAGGTTTTCAGGTAATGGAAAAAGTAATGGCCGGGGAGTTAAAAACGTGTGCGGTGAAGGAGTATTACAAGACAGTAGATCAGGGTCTGATCTTGTTTGAAAAGCCTACGCCAGGTCCTTAAGGTCTAATGAACCAGTGGGTAGAGAGATTCATTGACTAAAAGTGGAATTGACCCGTCACAGACACAGAGTCACGCCTACAGTTGGAATCCTTGGTGTTCAGTGAAAGACTTGAGAACTGAGAGTCGAGATCTTTGCTAGTAGACCGTCCGTGACTTGCTGATGGTTGGTTTGTTTGTTGTTGTTGCTGATACAGAGCTCGTAGTCTTCCAATCTCCTTTTCCAACACCTCCTGTTCCACTGAATAACAGAGAACTCATGAGTTGAAGTATTGAATAGGCTAACAAGTCTTCTAAAGCTTGCTTCCACTGAATAATAGAGAGCTCATGAGTTGAATACTTTGCTACAAAACTTAATTCTCCTTTCTGAGTCAGTCTATACAATTTGTGAGATCGTTGCTTTTGTATGGCTAACAACTTGTTTCTCTAGCACATTAATTCACATTAATGGGGAAAGTAACTTTAACAGATTTGAGAAGAGTACCGATAATTTCGGATACCCGTCAGTTAGGTAATGTTCAATCTTGATAACTAGCTACTACTTACAAATTATACTTCAGTTTAGAGTTTGGATCTAAAAGAAGCTAAAAGGATACTTTTTTGGGTGGGAGGCAGAAACTTACATTGTTTGAGCAGCTTCTCCTGAGCTATACTTTCGAGGCGGTGCTTAAGAGCTTTATTTTCCATACTCAGAATTAAATTCCGCTGGTTGAGAAAATCAAGCTCAGCTGAAACTTTGGAGCCTTCTGCCTATATCGATACCAATGAAACCCATACTTCAGTGTTCCCGAAATTGTAACTCTCTCCTTAAAATAAAGTTTTTACTAGCCTTACCTGCAATGCTTGTACATTCCTTTCTAGCTCAGATATGTACTGGAGCTTACGGACCCGTGATCGTTGCGCAAATTGCCTGCAGGAAGAAGCAACTAACCAGGTTAAGATAATGGAAACTAATAGTAAATATCAATAATCCATCAGTATCACTTATCTCTCACTACTTGACATATGATGATGCTATTTAAAGATGCAAAATTCTCCTTCAGTTACTAAGACCAAGAATCATATCATAATGAATCAATAAGCCAATGGGGACATTCACCATTGATGACAATATGGTGAAATGGCATGAAAATCTTCAATTCTAAATGGCTTTAGATAAGTAAATAAATCAAGAACGAGTAAAAGAGATCACATACTGTTTGGCTCGTCTAGTATTGTCAGCATCATAAGTCCCGGGCTGAGGACTGGAGTTTTTTTCCTCAGGAGAGAACTTTTTAGCCTCATGAGAAAGAGTTTTGGCGTAGTTCTTTGTTTCTGATTTCACTGTTGCTTCTTGAGACATATACGATGGTCCCATGTGTTTTCCACCCACACTCTCTCGAGTAAAAGGCAACCAAGAAGAGCGAGGCCCAGATGCCACCAAAGACTCTCGCTGTCGAATCGTCTGTTTTAGAAAATTAGCATCAGGGTAGAAGGCAGCGTCCTGAGCATTTTTGTTCCAATCAAGCTCCTGAGTTCCTCTTTGATTGGAAGAACCAACATTCCTATAACTGAAATCATTTTGGAGAGTCAAGCTTATGTTCTTGGCATTAGCCATGTCTAGATACGCGTACGAGTCACTTGATGAACGCCGGTGACCACATTTTCGAACAGGGCTCTCTGGCTCATTGAGTAGATCATCAAGCCAAAAGGGAGGCTCTTCTACCAAATCGCTCTCAGAGGATGTCCTCTGGTGGTGCGTTTTCTCTACACTAAGCTTCTGATTATGCCTTGAACCAATCGAACCACTGGGAATATACTCGGAATACGGTGCTGATACGCTAGGAAACGGAATCTTTGGAGGGAGCAAAGCGTTTTTTCCTGGGTACGTCAAGTCTTTAACACTCTGTGATCCCTTGGAATTAGCCATTGCCACCCTTGACCTGCAAAACTAACAGTATAAATTGACCACTTAATTCGCAAGAACATCATTAAAAAAGCCTGTTTATATCAATCTCTCAGAGCCGTTAAAATCATTTGAAAGGCAAACAACATATGTTAAATGTATACATCAAGAATAGATCAATGCAGCAATTCTTAAAACCGCATTATGTTTAAAGATTCTCTCAAAATGTTCTTCTTTTGGAAATAAAAAGCTGAAACCGAAGCACATCGCAATCGCTGACCTATTCAGACCAGACCACACCAGCTCATCAAGTTGCTTTCTCATTAAGCTAAGACTAAACATATACAATTTGTTTTAGACTCATTAAAAAGTGATTAAAGGGATTAATAACTTTCTCATCTCAACTAAACAAGCTTCTTAATTATCTAATTTTAATCAATAACCTTCTTCTCCTACCCGCATTTTCCAGCAGCCAAACAGTGAACAAGCCAATCAATCAAACGCAGAAAAAATCGAGAATACAAAATAGTAATTAAAACCCAAAATCAATGAGGATAAACAGATGCAGATTTTCCGATAATTGATTCTGTATTTCAAACTCGAATAAGAAAAATTACCAGAAAAAATCGAACCAGTCGGAAAAAATCTAACCAGTCGGAGAAATCGAGGATTGAGATTGGATCCAAATCGAAGATAAATCAGAAAAATCAGAAGTTTGGAAATGATGATTCTGCGCCGTTCTGTAAACCGGAGATCTTTCCTTTTTAGGAATCTGTGAAACTCGTTTTGCCTCTCTGTCTTATCGTTGAAAGGTGATTGAAGGAGAAGAATCAATCGACTCTCCGAAGAGAAATATTTTAGTCCTGAAAAAGTAAATCAAAGGCTTTTCTTTTGACTTGGGCCTTTTTTTGTTTTTTTTTTAAAGCCCTTTTGCCCTCAGTTCTTCATATTCAATATTCGTATTCAATACTTTTTCTTATTTTACATTTGCCCCAGATGTTTCTTAGATGTCTCTTTTTTTCCGCGGATTTGTGATTCCAAAAAAGAATATTTGACTAATGCCCCAGATGTTTCCTTTTTTCTTATTTTAAAATTTGGATCGTATTTAATACTTTTACTTAGTTTAGATCGTAGAACAAATGTAAATTACAAAAATAAAATAAAACAGTTTCACACACATCTAGAACTTACTTTAATCGAGCCATAAACAATGCATCTGCATATTAATCCACAATTATACAATGCTACTAATTAAAAAGACTGAATCAATGTCTCAATTCTAGTAATAAGTAAGAGTCTTGCTCTTAAGACAACTAATATCTGAGATCTTAAATAAAGCTTAAACACTAAGAAATCATTAAAAACAGTAGTCATCGAAAAATTCACTTACTTGCGTTTGTAAAAAACAGATGACTCTCTGAGTGATTCTCTGAGTGATTGAAAAAGACTTCCATAGACATAATTATCACCAAGTCCTTCAAAGATAACTCTTTTGGCACTGTTTTCCTTGAGATTGTAACATAAGAAATAGATGGTTTTTGTACATTTATGAGTAAATACAAGCTTGCCGATACTAATAGTATCCTTGAACCAAAATATGTTATGCCCAACTAAATCTTTCCAAGAAAAAAAATTATTGTATCAGATTGGCCTTGCCTCTGACCCCTTCTAGTGATTTAATAGAATCACGACACATACTTAGTTGAAATGTTTTTCGATAATTAAATGGACTTATCTTTTTTATTTACATTCTCTATGTCTGTCTTTGTGCAACTTAGGTACAAAGAAAAATTATTGTGTAGCAAAGATGTCAAGATTTTCATTCCAAAAAGGTTGAGTATATCATATAGGTTTGTCTTAGCTTCACTTCTAAGTATTAGATAATATCAAATAAGAATATTTCGTTATTTCCTAGATTTACATAGATATCATCTAATACTCCCCCTCAAGATGGCGAGTAGAGATTACGAACTCCCATCTTGCAAAGATGATAAGAGAACTGGACGCGACCAAGGGCCTTGGTTAGGAGATCTGCTACTTGCTCTGTTGTGCGGACGTAGGCCAGAGGAAGCTCACCAGCTTGAAATGCATCGCAAATAATGTAGTAGTCAATTTCGATATGCTTTGTCCTTTCGTGAAAGGCAGGATTCCGAAGATTATTAAGGGCTAATTTGTTATTGCAAAAGAAGGAGACAGACTCCGGAGGTTTGATACCAAACACTGGAAGAAGCTTAAGTAGCCACTGTATCTCAGAATATGTAAAAGACATTGCGCGGTATTCAGCCTTAGTAGATGAATGAGATACTGTCTCTTGCTTCTTAGTTTTCCATGAAAAAAGTGAATCTCCCAAAATAACAACATACTCGGTTAGAGATCTGATGTGCCTGTGGATGAGGGTGTCAAGTTTTACCCTAATAGAAATCAAAAAGCCGCAAGTGCACAACTGATCGATTGTAGTACTTAGAGATCGAATCCACAGGGAAGGAGGATTTTTTCTGCAAAAGCCTTTGAAAGAAATATGAAGTAAGGAAGTTTAGAACTTGTCAAATTTAAAGAAGTTTTTGGGTTGTCACTAAAATGTAAATTCTAAACTAAACAGGAAAATGAAAAATGCTTAAGAAAATCGACTAGAAAAACTAAACAAAACCTAATCTAAAACTTGAATGAAAATCAGCTGGGAATCAAAAACAACCTAATGACTAAAAGCTTAAATGAAAATCGGTTTAAGACAGTAAAAACGAGGCGCTGGATTTTCAAGGAAATAATCTCCGGGGATAAACGATTCAAAACATTGATAAAAGTAATTTAAAAAACCCTAACTAAAAATCTAGAACTCGAGTCACGAACATATGACTACATCACTCTTGTGATCATAACCAACTATCTCTCGCAGCCCTGACCACTAGGTTTCCACTCTGGCGCTGGAAGGGAAAAGATGCAAGCTTGCTTCAGACTAGTCAACATTCACAGCCAACCCATAGGTAGGTTTCCACTCCTATGGTAGAATTTCTCTTCTCAAACTAGATCTGGCTCCTAATGAAAACTTTCGAAACATTACCAACCTAAATCAGATTATAGTTCATGACCCTACTCCAATGCATTAAAAATAAGTTTAGAAGAAAAATTTCTAGGATTTGGCTTTGTTAGCTAATGGAATCCTCATCGAACATATATGTCCCTATCAAAATTCTCTTAAACTCAATAATAAAACTAATCAGACATGATTAAATAATGCAAAAACATAGTTATGAAAAGCTGTATTGAAATCGATATGAAGAAGAAACAAAAGGGTTCAAGAGATAGATCTCTATCTCCCTAAGAAACTAAAAACTTAAAAAGAATTCTAAAACATAAAAGAGAATACGAGAAGATGATAGATGATACAACTTAGGGTTCCTAAAACATGTATTTATAGTGCTCAAGACATTTCTGGACGTCACTTAGGGTTTCTCCAAATGAAATAATCGATTTGGACTTGGAAATGGGCTTCTAGGCTGAACAGACCAATCTCTGCGGTCAGGATGGACATGACCAGTGTAAATTGGGTGATGGCTGCGGTCAGGATTGCTTGGTGGCTGGTTGACGGGACATCTTTCTCTTCGCGTAACTTTTGATTGAACCGTTAGATTGTCTTGATGTCAAGTGTGCTGGAAATCTGTTTGTTCCATCTTTAAAGGCTCCAAACTTTAGCTGGATCAGATGGTGAAAAGGTCTTCATTTGAGGGTAAACTTCTAACGGTTTGACACTAAGTTGAAAATCTGGTCTTCTTATCCATTTTGCTAAGTTTCCTGAAAAGAGTCTTGAAACTACAAATTCTGGAAAACCATAATAAAAGCAATTAAAAGAAATAAAAAGCATTGAAAAATTATTTAAAAGTGATCCATAAAAGTGGTCAAAATATGGTGTTATCAAGATCGGCGAAAAATAGAGCAAGAGGACCAGTCCAAGTCGCAGTAAGCTTTCACGTGAAGATTCAAATTAGAATTTAGTAAAATATCTTGACCCAAAGTACCCTTGAGATACCGAACTACACGAAGCACCGCATCCCAATGTTTCTTACGCGGCTTGACAAGAAACTGAGCGAACAAATGAAATGCATAACTCATGTCTGCTCAAGTGATATTGGACAAATAAACTAAAAGCCCTACTAATCGTCGGTATCGAGATGGATTCTTGAATAATTCTCCTTCATCACGGGCCAATGTATGATTATGTTCGATGGGAGTATCATAAGGATGGGAGTATCAAATCGTCGGTGATAATTTCCAGAGTGTATTTTCTTTGAGAAACATAGATGCCTTCCTTCCCATGCGAAATCTCCAAGCCAAAAAATACTTCAATGCGCCGAGATTCTTCATGTGAAAGCATTTACTCATATATGCTTTGAATTTGTCCAAGAGCACATAATCATTACCACCAATGACCAGATCATTGACATAGACTAGTACATAGATGCAAGATGTGCCACGATGATAAGAAAACAGAGAAAAATCCTTCTTGTTTTGAATGAACCCCAACCATAATAAGGATTTCGACAACTTTCAAATCAACATCTGCGAGCTTGTTTAAGACCGTAAAGAGACTTTTTCAGATGACAAACCTTATTTTTATCACATGCAGTATAAAATTGCGGAAGCTTCATGTATACTTCCTCCTTTAAATCACCGTGGATGAATGCATAATGAACGTCCATCTGAAAGAGCTTGCAATTTTTTGCGGCAGCCACTTTTAAGAATACCCTGACCGTGGTCATCTTCACAACAGGTTCAAAAGTCTCATTGTAATCTGTTCCCTCTTCTTGTCGATTACCAAGAACAATTAGCCGAGCCTTATATTGCTCAAGTGTTCCATCAGAGTTAAGCTTCACCTTAAACTCCCATTAGTTGATAATGACATGTTTGTTTGGTGGAAGGTCGACAATATCTCAAGTGTGATTTTTCTCAAGTGTAACAACCTCATCTTTAGAAGCTAGTCGCCAATGTTCATGTTCCATCGCTTCTTTAAAGGATCTAGGCTCAGAGAGTAGATCGACTGCATTCAGAAAGATTTACTGCATAGGAGAGAATTGATGAAGAGAAACAGAGTTAGACAGAGGGTAAATACACTTACTTGAGGACATGGAAGCAGTGAAAAACTTGGCAATGGATTTATCATTTACCGCTGCAGAGTATGTAACATAGGGTTTAAGCAGCACTGAGGGTCGCCTAACGCGAAGACCATGACCAAGTTCTTCAACAGCCGGTTAATTCCCTTGGTCAATAATCGATGGAGGTTCTGTCTCAGCAAGTGTTGTAGGTGTTGATGCAGTAATCGCAGGTGCCTTGTTAGCTTGAACTGGTGAAGGTTCGTTAGTATCTATCGCAGGTGTCTTGTCATTAACATGTTCGTCACTCATCTCTCCAGGATTCAAAATCGAAGGTGACTCCCCCTCAGTAGTAGTTTCCGAACCCTCGTGATGCACCAGAGGCGTCATAACAGGTGGTGCAATAAGAGGTGTGTCGCCAAATGATTAACCAAACAGATCCACCTGAATAGGATCTCGTGATGCTTCATACGGGAAAACGGTTTCATGAAAATTAACGTCACGGGAGACAAACATTTTCTCTGTTTTGAGATCAAAGACCAATCAACCCTTTTTTCCAAATGGGTATCCAATGAACAAGCAGCGAGAGATGTGATCATCAAATTTATCACCGGTTCGAGGTGTGCGAGTAACATAGCAAAAGCAACCGAAAATGTGAATATCGTCACACGTCGGTGGATGCCCAAAAACAACTTTATAAGGTGTTTGACCATTGAGAACAGCTGATGGTGTTTGATTAATAGGGAACACAGCAGTTTGT